CGTCACTTTCCTATTACCTTCGTTGTAAACTACGTTTTCTCCACACAAGGGCGCCTATTATTTCGAGTGTTGTGTTTGTATTTCCTAAGGTTTTATTTACTCTATCCAATTTACTTTTGTCCCCGCAGTGTTGTCATTTATTTATCATTGTTTTTCTTCGTTTACACTTTGTTCCTTTTGTGTGTTTGCTTTTATTTTCCTTTCCTGATGTTTTCATTTTCTTAAGTTTCTTTTTGTTTTCTATTCTCCAGCGCCATCCTGGATTTCTTCCACCAACTTTCTTTGGTTTTCCACGAATTACCTACGTCACAAGGAACCCGGCGTCATAAAGGTTCGAACTTTAAGATAGAAGGAAAGCCCTCCTGTTACTCTGTTGAGACGCAAGGCGTTTTTCGATTTATTTTGTAAGTGAAAATGCCAAATTTGGGTTCAGTATTACCACAGAACCCATGTAATCAACATTACTGTTGTCATTTTAACCAGAATAGACCTACTTTGAAGATGTCGTTAACAATAGCCACCCGTCTTTGCTCTCGAACTGGAAAATGTACCGGACCATCTTTTCAAAAAATCGATTTAAAAAATATATGATCATAGTAAAGATTCAAATTAGACTTAAAATATAGACCATAGAATTATATTATTTACCGGAATTTTAATCAAATAGGCATGAACTCTGCCAATAATTAAATCTATTGCTGAATTTTACTGTTATGCTGAATTCTGTTGTAACTGCTGTACATAACTATATGTTCATTTTAAATTTTAAGACAAGATGGCTTACAGCTACTATGATGAACCCCTTAATATGACCCGAGTGGTTGAAACTAGTCGAGTTGTTGTTAATAATGACAATAAACTGTTTAGCATTGGCTAAATATTTTCAGTGCAACAATATGAGCATCAGAATAAGGATCATCACAATGACTTTATCATTAATTTAAGAAAACATTATTTACTTATTTTAACAAGTTAATTTGCGGATACATAAGTTATAAACATTTAATAAATTCAGATATTATTTTAATGTAAAGAAAGAATAATTTCCATGCAATTATACGACAGCGACGCGCTGTAGTTTTAGCTAGGTCTTCGAATTAGTAAGGCGATAGATAATTGAAGTCTGCACTAATTGTGTATTAAGTATGTGCGTGTATTACAGACAGCCAAATTAGGTTTACACTTTTGAGATTATATTTTACAACTTTCAGGTAATTAAATTAATTACATTTTATAGCTAATTTGTCAGTTGAGTTAGTTTTCTTGTTCAGAGAACGTATGTTTAATGCAAATAAGAAATAATTAGTTGTTCGTAGAATTTTTTGTTGAATTTATAGTCATTATTCAGTGTGAAATCATTGAGACTTGAACACACAACACTTTAAATTCGCTTTTAAAGTTCTGTCTCCTTTCGCAATATTTCGCTTCTAGGGTTAAATAACACGGCCGATAGTAGTGGCGACTTACCGTTCTATAACGTGGCACAGCGTCAAAAGAACTGGAGATAATTAATTACTCGCTGGAGTGTTTTACTTCTTCCTTTCTTATATAATTATTGTTTTGGAAGGAAAGGAAGCGATGGGTTGTAGTCAGAAGATAAAAGTTCACCACTTCGGAAAAGAACTTCGAACATTTAACAAGATTGAAAAAGTAGGGATTTTATGCGTTTGAAAATTAATTAAAGTGCCTGAAGTTTTGAGAGCAAGTCCTCGCCTCAGTAGCTTACGGCACCATCAGTGGTCATGTTATCTGTGGATTATACAGCAGGTATTAATATTGTCTCTTTTTAAAATTCTCTTTTTGCACTGCTGATTCTGCGAAAACATTTACATGCATTTGTTCTGCGAGGGTTTAATAAATGAATATGTGATCCTAAATCGAAATAATTTCATTGAAGAAGCTACGGTGGCGTATCTAATTCGCCAAAATGTACTGAAGGAAAGCACCTCATAAACGACAGTAGTTTTTTTCCGATCATCCGGTCAAGATCCAGGCTGAGTACCAATAATTTGTCGCAGAGCAAAACTGCCTTGTCTCAGACGTTCTCCGCGGGGAATAAAAGGCCACTGTACTCGCTTTGAGTTGTTGGCGTACTCGCTTTGAGTTGTTGGCACACCTGCTTTGTATTCGGAGTGTTCCGGGTTCGATTGTTTGCTAGGAAGTTGGCTGTTCTGACAAATTTTTGTGGGGGTTCCCGCAATTTATCGTTTACAGTGTTTCTTCCATTCTGTGCTTTGTAATTCATGCAGTTGAGAAGGCGTTGTTAAAAAACGAATAAAAAGTATTTCACGAACTTGATAGTAAGGTCAAAGTTTAATTGCATAGGTCGTGCGTGTGAGTGTGATTTAGACTTATGAATATTATGCAGAACTACCGCATATGATGATATTGACTGTGGTATTCTGTGTTCTGACGCCATTTGGTCTTGCTGGCAGCTAGCAACATTTCAGAGGTACATTCCTTTCCATCTTTACCTGAAGATCGAACGTATTCCTTCAGTTTTCACCCTGATATGGAGACGAGACATCACGACGATCATCAAATTCGATGCTTCTACCGACATCAGGACCTCAGCTTTCAAGCAATGGCTACGAAATTCCTTTTCAGTGGTGAAGCGAACGGTACAGAAGCTCAGACTACGAGTTTATATGCCATTGTGGCTGCGATATCGAATTACGAGTGCTTTTATAGTGGACCACATGTTTCAAAACGCATTTAATCTACTTTAAACAACAGATTGTTCACAAATTAATAACAGACTCCTGTTATTTATTTTCGTGTATGTCACTGATGGGGCAAACAACGACCTAGAGCAATGCATTTTTACGTGATATTTTGTTAATCACTAGTGTACACTGATAAGAAATATCTTTGTGGCTTTTTTTTTTTAAAAAAAATGTATAGTAAGAAAAGTTAAGCCCGTCTGCTTTCAGAAGCGTTCATGTTCCCACTTCTAACAAGGCGAAAGATTCAAATACCACGCGAACAGAAACGTTTATGATAGGAATAGGTCAGTGACATGGAACACGTATCATTAATATCAGATTAAAACGGACTGGCCTAAGTGATCGGGCCTTATCAGACGAATCCCAACAGCAGGAAAGTCTATTGTATGCTTATCGCTAGGTAATTCTTATAAGTTGGAAAAAAAACCCTGAGTTTTATCTGCTTTATTATTCACATGTAGCTCAACTGTCAATGAGTGGATTTGACGGTTTCAAGCAGGAGTATGTTTTGCGAGCGACCTGTAATGATACGGTTATCATTCGTTCCGCTGGCGTCTGCATGTCTGACACAGCCGTTTTCATAGTAAAACCGCGTAATTTCCTGTGATGCAATGTGTCACATGAAAAACACGCATGTCGTTTGACATTTTCAATGACATTCATATCACGCGGGACAATGATTGGCTTATTGCCAAACTTGAACATTCGTGTGCTGCAGTGAGACCCTAAGGGGCAGAAGGATTTTCCAAGACCCAACTCATGTTCTTCCTAGAAAAATATTCTTATTTTATAAAGCATATAATAAATTATATCCGTGTCTTTATTCTCCTTTACAATTTCTGAACGAATTCACAGGTTTAAACTGATGTTCTTACGGAGGTTATGGCATGGAAGGCAACTCCGCCATCTTACTTTATAATTAGCTCCCTCCGGTTAACAGGGGTCCGCAGTGACCGCGTGGTCTGAGGCGTGGGGCCTTGTGCCGCTTGGTCCCTGGGACCGTGGGTTCGAATCCCACTCAAGCCATGGATGTTTGTCCGCGTTTTTCTGTGTTGTGCTGTCCTGTGCCTTGCGACGGGCCGATCCCTCGTCCAAGGAGTCCTACCGAATGTCTATAGATCAAACCAACGAAAAGTTGGGACCCGCAGTGCTCAGGCACTTGAAGAACGGGTCGTTCCCAGTATCCCTCCGGTTAACACCTACACAACGACGTTATTAGCACCACGCTTAATCCTCACGCTTCAGAACCACCCCTTTTCGGCGGTATGTGACTGCGTATTAAACATATCTGCAGCTGCTTTCCACATCTGGAGGCCGTTTCCTTTACCCCCCAAGCTGAGGTCGCACCATACTGGATGACAGGGGACCAACTTATCATGTTCAAAATCGCATTTCTTAAAAATGAAACTGGAATGTGAGGATGATATTTATGTAATATAGGCTTCAAGAGACGCATTCTGTCCCTAGTCTTGCAATATCCGTCTTTACGTATTTTATTCAGTCCCACTTCCTCCTGTTCGTGCCCCTTGGTCGTATTTGTCCGAGTGTGGGAAGGTTGCTGAAGAGACCCACGCGTGCGATAATGTCGGTATCGCATCAGGTCCATTCTTCACGGATGCGAGCACGCAAGCGAACTCTGGATAATTCACGCCCACACTCACGGGGCTATTAGTCGTATTACTGTGTGAGGTGCCCAACCTGAGAGCATCGCGTGTAAGAAGACAGTGATTTATAAGTGTCTCTTCGCAGGTGATCATTTAAACGGGAGACAAGTTTGATGAATATGTTAGCATTATATAGCAATTACCATAAATATAATCCATTTCTTTTTATAAACCATATCTTGCTTGCCATAATTTTCAGTGTGTACTTTTTCATAACATATAAATTCTAGTAGAAATATGTCATTAAAAAAAAATCTTTTAGCGTGTTGAACCGGCCAGTGGCGGATCGCAGAAACTTCCTATGGACTCGTTGGAATTTGTAAATACGAACATGTAAGTGGAATGTGAGTAGGTTAAAACGAAAATGACGGATAAATCAACTGAAAGAGCTAGTCAGTGCAATCCTAAGTAGAACTGTAGCCGACTTACGATATTATGAAGGATGTTGAAGCACCCGCATCTTCAATCATTTGTTTCATTCATCTTAAGTTATTTTTTTCAGGATGTCGTTCGTGTCGAATCATATTTGTCGCAAGAAAGAAGTTCATCTCTGTTTCTTGCTATGCAAAATTAATTTTGGCACCACTAATCTGTTTCTGGTAACTTTCAGGTTTAATGGCTGGACTTTCCAGAGATGCCTGGAGAGGGGCTGAAATCGAGAGAGATTTGAAATTCCGCTCATGACCAGTGGGTCGTGTATCTTACAGGCTGTTCTGTAAGTACTCAACTTAATGTTACTCTCAACACTTTGTGTCCGCTATGGTATTACTCCTGCGTCCAGATCGGCTCTGGGACCCACCCAGACGCCTTTCCAATGGTCAGCGGGAGGGTCTTTTCCCTAGAGTAAGACTACCGGAGTGTGTCGCCTTACCTCCACTTCCCCATACATCACCAAAATCAGCGAGAATACCTGTGATGTTTCTGCTGTAAACTGTCCGATGTTTGGGGGCTGTAGATTAATTCTTTCTCTTTAACTTTTAGTCCCATGCTATCATTTCACCCAATCGGTCCACTTCTTTGCACTGTTAAAGTTCTAAACATAACGCCACTGACAGAAAAAAAAAATATTTCACGAAGTAGGTTCTCTGGTTTCTGATTCAGATGTAATTCTGAAACAACCTTTTGATAATTTGTTACTGATGATGGATATTTCGAATTACTTAGTATGGAATTTAACACTGAGATGAAATTTCCGAACTACTGCATTGTGGCTTGAATGGCTGAGCTGCTGTATTTAGCCCAGTACAGTATTACCTGTTTGGTTCTCAGTTTATTGTAGAACGTTGTGTCAGTTTCAGAAGCTATATAGTGTTCGCAGAAGGGATACAAAGTGGCACATTTAATAAAGAAAATGTGACGAACACACGATACTTCCGCTAATCATAATTCACACAAGATCTTATTTGATTCTGTTGGATGCTGTTAACACACGCAAGGATTGCGCTTTGTTAAATTGCCAGTGTACGTTTGAACTAAAACTTGTGTATGCAAGGTAGAACTGTAAGCCTTTTGTACCAGTTAGTGGAACAGATAAGGTTAGTGACGCCTGCATGAGAGAGGCAGTCTATGTCGTTTGGCACACGGCCATGCATAGCCTTGAGAGAGGGAATGTTTTATCAAGTTCAGGACGAGAGGGTAGCACCCCGCGATAAATAGTTTAATTTAAGTTAAGCGAAACAGTATTCCCTTAAATTGTTAAGACCTTCACTCGCTATGCAAATTACATTATATTTCTTTATTAAATAAACATGGAGACAATGCTGTTTAAGAGTATTGACCGTGTAAAGGACTTGTTTGTATCTTCAAAGCCATCTTGGGTTTGTATCAGTGAAGAACTGGTTTCTACGTTTGTAGCAAGGGCAGAGGTTTGCAGAACAAGTACAGCGGGGACATGTGCTTAGACTCTGAGACCTGATATGTGAAGTGCAGTTTTTAAATGTCACTTGTTCTCATCATCTACAAATATTTTTAATTATGTAAGATTTGAGGTTTTCACAGCGGTGAGTAAGAAGATTTCTGTCTTCTGGGTTGTTGCGCTGTGTAGTATGGTCGATGTTTACCAACGATGAATCGCCCTGATGACGGAGGCAATATGACCTCTGAAACGTTGGTAAACATCTACCAGACTACACAGCGCAACAACCCAGAAGACAGAAATCTTCATCTTCATTTTTGATTATGTTCTTCACTCACATGAACAATATTAATGCTCCAGATATGAATGGTAATCCTTGTAACAGGATGATTTGAAACGTACTTAGGTCTATTCGGTTTGTTTTGTTGTCTCCGTGACGGTGTTGATCCCATTAGGAAAAATTGCTCGATGGTAGGCAGATGTAAGAAGCAAGTGCATGACTCCTACATGATTATTTACGGCATTTTGGTTAATTTAGTTTAATGATGCATTTATCTTTGTATAGAGTATTGTCAGGGCGATTAAGTCGAGAAGAATGAGATGGACGGGGCATGTAGCGCGCATGAATAGGACAAGAGGTGTGCACCGGGTATGCCTGAGGGGAAGAGACCTCTGGGGAGACCTAGACGTAGATGGGAGGATAATCTCAGGCGGGATCTATGGGAGATAGGAGTTGAAGGAGACTGGATTTTGTTGGCCCAGGACAGGGTCCGGTGGAGGGCTTTGGTTAATTCGGTGATGAACCTTCGGGTTCGGTAAGCCATCTAGTTAGTTATAGACTTACTACTGCGTATTGCAGTTGTGTTGCCCAGTTCTTGATTATTTTATTCTGAAGTCAATTAGTACCTGCAGAGTTTGATGGCGTAACGCGTTTATAAACATGATTTAATTTACAGTTGGTTTATACTCGACTTCTTTACTGAATTTTAAAATAATCTGTGCATTAATTACGATAACTGAATTATGTACTTAACCATTCATTTTAGAACGTGACCCTTTTTTTTTAGTGTTCTGTCTGACGACAGGTCCATATGAACAGGATCCTTCCATCCTTTTCTCGGACTGGGACCTGTTCATATACGTTCTTGGCAGATGATCCAGAAGTGGTTTGCCACTGCCTTCTTCTGTGTGTGAATGGAGTAATTGTTGGGATGCCACGGAGAAACCGGGGAAGCCCCCGGAGGAAAACTCCGTGTTGCCTAGACCACGGCCTTGCCCAGCACAAGTTATAAATTCGGGCACCGCCGGGAATCGAACCCGAGACCCCAGGATTACAAGGCCAGCGTTCTAACCGCTAGACCACCGTGGCGGTATAGAAATATATCTAACTTATACCACTCCGTTCCAGTGTCTACCTGTTGACTTTTGCAGATCAAGATTAAACACTCATAGAATTTAAAGCTTCTATGATTCCTGATCAGTTCGAGCCAAAGTTTAACGCTTCAGAGACCTGCTTTAGCTCCGTCTTTATTCCCTGGTGATGGAGGCTGAGAGGGTCTCTGAAACGTTGTACGTCTGCTCCGTCTGCTCCGTTGTACGTCTGCAGTCCATCGTCTTAGAAGGTTTTGTTTTTCAAGGTTCAGATTAAATCATTATTATCAATATCATCAGAATAAATAACTGTAAATTAGAAAAAGGGAGATTTGTCCACATCTCATAAATTAAACGGGCTGCATGTCCTACACCCCTTCACTAGAAGTTCAAATTAACATGTAGTAGTTGTCTTGCACACTTCGTGGGTCGCATGAGGTTGATCCCTGGTCCAGAACGAGACTAGAAATCCGTCCTTCTTCTGACGTTTTTGCTCGCACATTGTCATGGCAGTCGATTCCCCCTTCATCGTGCCTGTAAGGTCTGTGCTGAGTGCTGAGTGCTTTCCTGGAACACGAATCTGGTTAAAACCAACGAAACTACACCAAATTTATGAATTCCCTTTTAACAGGGTGTCACATCATATGAAATGCACAATGACTACAATAGTAAAGTAACCGTATGCAAATATCCGACAGATCCGGAACTCATGTATAAAACTGGAGCGAAGAACTACAAAAATACAGAGACAATAATATTCACAGCAACAAAGTCGTGGATTTGCTACGCATTTATTTTTATTTTCGCTCATGTTATATTCATACGCATTATATATAGTCGTTAGGATATCCTCTGATTAAATTGAAAAGGGTGAGATGGATA